GGATGGAGTTCATGGGGAAAAACTTCCAGGATGGAATTAATGGGGAAAAACTTCCAGGATGGAACTCATGGGGAAAATTCCAGGGAAAAACTCCTGGGAAGGAGTTCATGGGGAGAAACTCCTGGGATGGAGTTCATGGGGGGGAAATCCCAGGATGGAGTTCATGGGGAAAAAATCCAAGGACAGAGTTCATGGGGGAAACTCTTGGGATGGAGCCAGAGGAAAACTCCTGGGATGGAGTTCATGGGAAAAACTTCCAGGATGGAATTAATGGGGAAAACTCCTGGGACAGAGCCAGGTGGAAACTCCTGGGATGGAGTTCATGGGGGCAAACCTTCCTGGATGGTGCTCACAGGGGAAACTCCCAGGATGGACTTCACAGGGAGCAGAAGAGCAGAAAAGCTGGAGCAAAAAATGGATGTAAATTTGCAGCTCAATAATTAAAAATAACTGGATGAGATGAGGCCCTTTCCCATCAAATCCAGACCCTCTGGATACCCCAGGTTCAGGATTGCTCAAGGCTCCCTCTCACAGGTGTTTAAACTCAGTATTTGGTTAAATTTATTTTTTTTAGGAGGGGGGAATTAGATCAAACGTTCATTAAGAGGAAAAAATATATGAAATAACTAAACCCTGCTTAATCACCAGGACAAAAGAATTCCCATTTTTCCAGCCCCAGCTTTAGTCGCTGAGGCTGAGCAAAATAAGCTGCTTACTGTTAAACCAGAGGTGTCTTTTGTTCACGCTGTTATTTAACACAAAACTTCATTTTTGGGGGGAAATTCATGAGAAAAACACATTTTCTTTGACTCTGAGAATCAATTGTTCCTGGGAGGATCAAGCCACGTGCTGCTGGAGCGACAGATTTTGGGGAAAAACGCCGGGGAAGATTTGATTTAAAAAAAAATAAAAAAAACCCACAAAACCAACAAACTCATCGCGATTTCGCTAAAATTCGGGAGAGAGCAAAAAGAATCTGGCAAAACTTCCTGTTAACCAATTACTGCAATTTTCCAAGGCGAATTTTTTGGGGAACAGGTGGCAAACATAAAGCTGGGAAATGCTCGGATCTGTTCCCTTCCCCATCCAGCTGCTCGCTCAGACGCGGAGGTCGGGGGGAACCTCGACCTCAGCGCTGCCTCCGAGCTCCCCCAGAGCTCCCAGGGCTCTGATTCCATTTTCTCTTGGAAAAAAATTCCATTTTCTCTCAGAAAAGCAGCTCCTTCCCTTCACCCAGCACTCCAAACCAGCGTCGTGCTGTCAAAAAATGTGATTTTTACACGGATAAAAGACATCCTCCCAAAATGTTCTATTCGTGGCACGGATGGCGGAGAGGAGGGAAAAGCTTTTGCTGAGTTTTCCCAGGAATGCTGCTGGGATTTGTGGCTCTGGGGACACCTCAATTTACCTGGTGCAGCTTGGCCAGGACAGGGCCAGTTCTCTCCTTTTCCTCATATTTTTCCACCTTGGATTGAAGGCGTTTGTAGTCCTGCAGCGTCTGCTCCCGGCGCTTCACTGCCATGTTCAGGCTCGGGAAAACGCTGCTGAACCTGGAAAAAAAAAAGGATGGAAAAGCTTGGGATGGGATATTTTGGGTGGATGAAGCATCCAAGGAAATTGTGGAGCACCCTGGTCCAGCAGGAAGTTCCCTGCTGTGGCACTGGGTGGGATTTTTCCAAGCCAAACCATCCCAGAATTCGGAATATTCTTAATTAATGTTGTGATTCCTGGTTGGAAAGGGAAAGGAGAGGTAGAGAAGTTGAAATAAAAGTCCAGGAAAAATAAACAATGAGTGCAAAATAAATATTAACTGCAGATTAAATTAATACAGTTCATTTACAGTTAATAATGAAATATTAACTGTATTATTTTTACACATTTTGTTCCTTTTTGGCTATTATTTTTTCCTTGTTTGTTTTATAGTTTTTTTGTGCTTTCTTGGTTAATTTTTTTGCTTTTTCTGATTAATTTTTTGTTCTTTTTTCAGCAAATTTTTGCTCCTTTTGGGTCACAAACCCAGCTGAAGAGGAGCCCTGAGCCCTCCCCAGAAGGATTCACAGCATCCAACAATTTACCCAGGCGATGGGAAAGATTCCTATTATTAAAATGTGTTACAAATTGAGGAAACATGAACATCTGATGGAGAATATTTTTGAATGTGACAGAAAAGGGAAAAGCAGGAACTGGAACGTTGCTCCTGCCTCTTAATTCCAGGAAATCAAATTATCCCAGGGGATACCAGGGCTGTGGGTTGGGATCAAAAAGGTGATGCTCCTTCTGGAGATAATAATTTAATATTCATCAATTTCAGGGTGATTTTGGGGAGGTTGAGGCTAAGGATTGGTGGTGAAAATTTTCTCTGAGCAGCCTGGTGATGGATTTTACTTCCATGAGGGAACAAACAGCTTTCCCACCTCTTAAAATGGAGAAAAAAAACCAAAATAGAAATAGAAATCCAACTTGGGGGGCCATTAGCAAAAAGAAAAGACACAAATGTCACTTGACAAGTGTCATTTGCTTTGGATGTGACCCAAATCCAGGGTTCAGGCAGAACCATGGGTGTTCCCAGCCACTCCAGCCCTATTAAAATCCCATTTTCTGCTCGCTCTGGAGGGTGCTGATGGGCTGGGCTGGTGGGTGCTGAGAGAAAACTTTCATCCCTGAGCCTCATTTTGCAAAGGGCAAATGCCAGGAGCAGGGAGAAGTGGGAATTTTTGTATTCCAAGGGTTTGGAATGGAGGTTTTGGAGCATCCCTGAGCTGGGGATGTGATCCTTCAATCCTGCCTATCCCCCGAGGCTGGCACAGAACAAATCCATGTAAATATAAATATAAATATAAATATAAATATAAATATAAATATAAATACATATCCCATGATATTCTCCCTCTGTTACAACAGATTGGGGATGAGGAACAACCTGGAAAAGTCATCAGGGAGCTGCTCCAGCTGCCCGGAGAGGATCAGATGCTCTGCCCTGACATTGCTTTTTATGGGCACCATCCCACACAATCCCATTCTATTTAAATGGGAGCCATGTCCTGCATGCAGCAGGCTCCAGGCACGGCCCCGCCAGCTCCTGGGCTGCTAAAATCTCTCCTACCTCTTTGTAAAGTCCAAAAACCTGCCAGGAGAAGGGGCAGGGAAATAGGGATGGAGGAAAGAGTGGCCAGGTTGAGAGGTCTCAAGGGTTTGGGTTCACAGGATCAGGGAATGGTTTGGGTTGGAAAGGACCTTCAGGACCCTCCAGGTGGGGCAGAAACACCTTCCACTGGCCCAGCAGGCTCCAAGGCCACTCCAGCCCGGCCTGGGGCACTGCCAGGGATGTTTTTGTGCCTTTCCCAACATGGCACACACACAGTGCCAGCAGCTCGAGGTCGCAGCTCCTGCAGGAATTTCTCCCAGTTATTAATGATGGGAAGGAGGATCTCATCAGCCCAGAGGCTTTCCTGGTTAATTTTAATTATTATTATATTATTCCCCTGGTTGGGGGAGGTTTGGGAAGGACACAAAACCTAAAGCAGGGAATAAAGACCACGGGGATGAGCTGAGCTGCTCCTCCACGCTGGGAATGCAGGCATGGCAATGCCAGAGGAGATTCCAGGCTGGGAAATCCTCCCTTCCCTGCTGGGCACCTTCCTGAGACGTCCCCAAAGCACTGAGGCTCGTGCTGGCACCCAAACCCAGCTGTTTGTGGTGCTTTGCTGCCCCTTCCCTGGCACTTCCCAGGGCTCCTGCCTGAACAGAGCCACGGGACTCTGAATTCCACCCCCAACCCTTCCCCTTGGAAAAAGCAGCCAGGGAGGGCTCACAAGACAATCAGCAACACAGTTTCCATTCACTTTGAAGTTAAATCTGGGCTTTAAAAAGAGAGGAAAAATTTTATTTTAATATTTTTTCACCCTTTTTTATTCTCGGTATCGACTCGGTGCAATTTCGCAGCCCCTAATGGAAGGACACTGTGCTCAGGCAGAGCTTTAAAAAATATCTACAGGGCTGGATCTGAAGAGGCTGGAAGTGTGTAGGCACAGCAGCTCCTGTCTCACAAGGACTTTAATGCATAGATTATACGCTGCATTTCCCATTGCAGGGGGGGCCCAGCTCCCCAGAGCCGCAGCCATGGAGCTCTGAGTGCCCTGAGCTCCAGCCTGGCCACTGGGAACCCTGGAACCCCACACTGCCCTGCCTGGGCAGAGACCTTGAACCACCCTGGTCCACCCCCTGCCATGGGCAGGGCACTTTCCACTGTCCCAGGTGCTCCAAGCCCCATCCAATCTGGCCTTGCAGAGATGAGGAAGAGTTTTCCAGCTTCTTGCAGAGATGAGGAAGTGTTTTCTGGCTTCTCTGGGCAACCTGTGTCACCCCCATCCTCACAGGGAACAATTCCTTCCCAATACCCTCTTTAAATCTCCCCATTTTTAGTTCAAAGCCAACCCCATCACTATTGGAGGTCCCCTCAGCGTGGCTGTCCTCCAGCAGGGAAGGGTTGGGTCATTTGTGGCTGAGCTCTCCCTGTGCCCAAGGAGCTCTCCCTGTGCTCAAGGAGCTCTCTCTGTGTGCCAGCTGAGCTCTCCCTGTGCCCACTGAGCTCTCCTTGGGCCAGCCAGGCTCTCCCTGTGCCCACTGAGCTCTCCCTGCTCCAGCTGAGCCCTCCCTGTGCCCACTGAGCTCTCCCTGTGCCCAAGGAGCTCTCCCTGCTCCAGCTGAGCTCTCCCTGTGCCCACTGAGCTCTCCTTGGGCCAGCCAAGCTCTTGGTGTGCCCACCAAGCTCTCCCTGTGCCCACTGAGCTCTCCCTGCGCCCACTGAGCCCTCCCTGCTCCAGCTGAGCTCTTCTTGTGTCCACTGAGCCTTCTCTGTGCCCACCAACCTTTCCCTGTGCCCACCAAGCCCTCCCTCTGCCCATCAACCTTTCCTTGTGCCCACTGAGCCCTCCCTGTGCCCACTGAGCTCTCCCTGCTCCAGCTGAGCTTACCCTGTGCCCACCAATCTTTCTCTGTGCCCACCAAGCTCTCCCTAGTCCAGCTGAGCTCTCTCTGTGCCCACCAAGATTTCCCTGTGCCCAAGGAGCTCTCCTTGGGCCAGCCAAGTTCTCCCTGTGCCCACTGAGCTCTCCCTATTCCAGCTGAGCTCTTCCTGTGCCCAAGGATCTCTCCCTGTGCCCACCGAGCCCTTCCTGTGCCCACTAACCTTTCCCTGTGCCCAACAAACTTTCCCTGTGCCCACCAAGCCCTCCCTGTGCCCACCAAGCCCTCTCTGTGCCCACCAAGCCCTCTCTGTGCCCACCAAGCCCTCCCTGTGCCCAAGGAGCTCTCCTTGGGCCAGCCAAGCTCTGTGTGTGCCCACTAAACCCTCCCTGTGCCACCAACCTTTCCCTGTGCCCACCAACCTTTCCCTAGTCCAACTGAGCTCTTCCTGTGCCCACCAAGCCCTCCCTGTGCCCAAGGAGCTCTCCCTGCTCCAGTTGAGCCCTCCCTGTGCCCACTGAGCTCTCCTTGGGCCAGCCAAGCTCTTGGTGTGCCCATCAAGCTCTCCCTGCTCCAGTTGAGCTCTTCTTGTGCCCACTGAGCCTTCTCTGTGCCCACCAAGCTTTCCCTGTGCCCACTGAGCCCTCCCTGTGCCCACCAAGCCCTCCCTGCACCCAAGGAGATCTCTCTGTGCCCACCAACCTTTCCCTGTGCCCAACAAACTTTCCCTGTGCCCAAGGAGCTCTCCCTGTGCCCACCGAGCCCTCCCTGTGCCCACTGAACCCTTCCCACACTGTCCCAGGTTCCATTTCCAGGCAGGATCAGCTCAGCTCAGGCAGGGAAGGACCTGCTTGGACTGCTCTGGATCTCTGGCTCCTGAAGGAACCAAGGAATCCTGAATTCCCCGTGGGCCCAGCAGCTCTGAACTGCCCTGGGATCCAAGGAGAAGGGGTTTCAAGTCCTGCCCAGGATTTTCTCCCTGTGTGGACAGAAACACAATCCCAGGGGTGCCAAACACCCGTGCAGGGCGAGAGGGAGAGCTGGGCTGCTGTCAGTGCCAAGTTATTCCGAGGAATTCCTGCCTCCACACGTGGCCCCAGTGTCTCCACAACCATCTCATGCACGTTATTGACAAATGCTGCTGCTGCACAGCCTGGCACCAAGGCTCTGCAGAGCCTCTGCCATCCACAGGCACAGCCAAGCCCTCCAAGAACACCCCTGCAAGGAGCAGGAGAGATTCCCAAAGCCTTTGGAGAAACAGCACCAACCCCTCCTGGCAGGGACTGGGATTAACTGGGAGGGGAACAGCCAAAGAACCATTGGGAAATGGAGTCTGGTCCACAGAGAATTTCAGGACATGGGGAAAGAGCAGGGAAGCCTCACAAGCAAATCCTGGATGTTTCACTCATCCATTCCTCACACTTGGAGCAAGGGAACAATTCCTCTCCCTGTGAACCCTGGGGCAGGTGTGGGGTTTGTAACAGATCAAGGAACCAGCAAGGCTGGAAAAGGGCCCTAAAATCCAGTCCAACCCAGCACCTCTAAGCCACAAAGTGAATTTTCTGAGCATTTCCAGGGATGGTGA